TAATTGCATTTATATAGCACATATCCACGCTCAAGAGCATGCACTACGCGCTTTACAACCATTATTACCCCAGCAGACCCTCTGAAAACACTCAGAAACATTCTCGGCTTCCGCGGAAGCATACAGTGCAAGCTGCGGGTTTCACGCGCTCAAACACTACCAAACTGACAAGCTCGTTCACTGTCTATAGCCGGGTACCCATTTCCACCTGGGTGAAGTGAGAAAAATTTGTGCAAAGTGCCTTTCCCAAGGACACAACGTCGGGCCCCTGACGGGATTCGAACCCACGACCTTACGGTTGCCAGTCCGAGAGCCTAACCACTAGGCCACCGACGCCACAATAAGGTCAATAAGTGCCGAAGATCAGAGTTAGTGTTACAAGAGAGTAACAAACACAAAAAGGGAGGAGGAGAGATAAGGACGACAGATGTTTGATAGGAAAGAAGAAGCAGCAAACCACAACAGAGCACCCACCAACCAACCACAAACCCTAACCCTAACCCAAATCGTAATGGTAATCATAATCGTAATCGTAACCTTAACCCAGCCCTATCCGTGACCGTAATCGTAATCATAATAGTAATCGTACCATAACCCTAACCCTAACTGTAACCATAACTGCAACCGTAACCCTAACCCTAACCGAAAAACCCTAACCCTAACCTGACGGACGGCATGTTACAGTAAGGGTTCGGGTTGTGTATTGTAAAAGCCAAGAAGACCGTCAAGTGGAACAGAAGTCAGACTGGTCCTGGGGCAGACCGCCGGCCAAGTAAAACAGAAATACTGGTACCGAACGGACAGGCCACTACATGTACATGTACATTGTTGAGTTAGAATTTTTTTTTAGTTTGCTTGATTTGTTTGGGCAAAGAGAAGCACATCGACAAGACAGTAGTCATTAGTGATGGGAAATCGAGTACACAGAGAAACAGGGGGAAAGAAAGGAAGGGGGACATACCAGTAGCTCCCTTTACTGAAATTATTAGTACATGACAATGTACATGTTAATTACTGTGCCTAATGACTATGACAGACGTATACATCCTGCCGGCTCACATGACTTCGCAATAACTTGCTCACTTCCTTGAACAGCCTGTTCTTTCAACACGTCTCCTCCCCACCCCCACCCCCACCCCTAAAGTGTAGCCTGCTGAACACATATCGCGACCATTCATACATCTTACCTATCCACCCATTTCCAGGTATCCACTTAAGACTGGGTGGACTAAGAAAAATAAGCTAAAATTACGTCTTCGTGTGTGAGCGCGCGCGAACGTGAGTGTGTGTGTGTGTGTGTGTGTGTGTGTGTGTGTGTGTGTGTGTGTG